GATCTGGTTTTAAACTTCTGACAAAGATATGGAGGTGCAAGTCCATTTAAGCATTTAAATACCATGGTAGCATCCCTAACCTCAAGTTGTTTAACAATTGGCAGCCACTGTAACTGCTTAAGAATAGGTGTAACATGATCAAATTTCCTCGTTCCAGAAACTATCCGGGCTGCAAAATTTTGCACTGTCTGTAATAGCTCGATGTTTTTCTTGGTGGTATTAGCCCATACTGATGAACAATACAATAATTTACTGAATACAAGAGAATTAAACTTTACATCTATTGAGTACAGGAACGTTACTGCAATAAAATAATTTTTATTATTGACATGCTTAACATCCAACAATATAAGTACTACATGTATTTGGGATATGATTCTCTTTGCTTTGACTCTGGTGATGACTTCTGCATAGGTTTTCAAAATGTCAGTCACAAAGACAATCATATTCCACTCACTTATGATGTGACTTCTGGTTTCAAACAGGTTTATTTACTGTATTGCATAACTTTGTTTGTTTGTAAAGCTTGATAGAGTTATAATTAATATGTCATTTCCCAGCAGAGTGCAAACACCTGTAAAAAGCCGCTTCATTTTATAAAATATTGTTCACTTTACACTGTATATCGGCATTTCTAAGTGCCAGTATATTTTAATAGTGAGTATTTATAGATCTGCACCTGCAGTGCATGGTTTAGTTTACTGAATCTACATATACTCATTTCAGGATATTCTTCACACCATCTTCAGTAAACAAGGTCATGTCTTGAGAATTGTCATCTTTAGAAAGAGTGGGCTACAAGCCATGGTGGAGTATCCTTTTCCAGAGTAAAATAAAGTAAATATTTTTCTTTTTGATGCAGTGTATCTTTAAGTTTGTATAGCTGTATACATGTTTTTGCTGTGTTCCTAGTGAACTATTATGTTGCAGTAAAAAGTGCTTTTAGGGGAGACAACCCTATAACCTTGGGACCTCCATATACATTGTGTAAAATAAGAACTGGTCACTACATAGCTATTAGAATTTCAGGCTACCAGGATTTATTTTACACCCATTCAGGACTGACTAGTATTTCTAGCAAATGAACAGCAATGGTAGATGGTGTAGTGTCAAGCGAAGC